AAGACTGCATTCTAACCACTGTGCCGGATGGATGGAAGGAGGGAGGGAGGGAGGGAGGGAGGGAGGGAGGAAGGAAGGAAGGAAGGAAGGAAGGGCAATAGCAATAGCACTTAGACTTATATACCACTTCATAGTGCTTTTTCCAGCCCTCTCTAAGCAGTTTACAGAGTCAGCCTCTTGACCCCAACAATCTGGGTCTTCATTTTACCAACCACGGAAGGATGGAAGGCTGAGTCACCCTTGAGCCAGTCAGGATCGAACTGCTGGCAGTGGGCAGAGGGAAGGAAGGAAGGGCAATAGCAATAGCACTTAGACTTATATACCACTTCATAGTGCTTTTTCCAGCCCTCTCTAAGCAGTTTACAGAGTCAGCCTCTTGACCCCAACAATCTGGGTCTTCATTTTACCCACCTCGGAAGGATGGAAGGCTGAGTCAACCTTGAGCCAGTCAGGATCGAACTGCTGGCAGTGGGCAGAGGGAAGGAAGGAAGGACAATAGCAATAGCACATAGATTTATATAGTGCTTTACAGCCCTCTCCAAATGGTTTACAGAGTCAGCCTCTTGCCCCCAACAATCTGGGTCTTCATTTTACCCACCTCGGAAGGATGGAAGGCTGAGTCAACCTTGAGCCTGGTGAGATTTGAATTGCCAAATTGCAGGCAGCCGGCAGCCGGCAGTCGGCAGAAGTAGCAGTCTGCATTACTGCATTCTAACCATTGCACCACCGTGGCTTAATATAGATTAAGGTGCCACCAAGAGCTGGTAGACATTTTTAAAAAGAAAACTCAGCAGTCTGTCGAGATGTCCATGTCCTCCTCCCTTTTTTCCCCATATCTCCACAGATCGAGCGCCACGACAGCTGTGCTTACGACTATCTGGAGATTCGGGATGGCAGTTCAGAGTCAGACCCTGTGATTGGAAGGTATTGTGGTTATGACAGGCCCGACGATATTAAGAGCACCTCCAACAAGCTGTGGATGAGGTTTGTGTCCGATGGGTCCATCAACAAGGCTGGCTTTGCGATCAACTACTTCAAAGGTAGGGAATATAGCGCTTGAATTATTTAAAGCAGGGTTGGATAATCTTTGGATGTGCAGCACCCACCCTTTACAGCTTTACAATTGGGGAGAGGGCAACACTATCTGACAAAGGGTTGATGCAAAGTAGAAGACCGTGTCATAGAGAAGTTGGGTTCAGATCTTCTGATATTCCCCTCCCCCCAGGGTGATAAGAGGAGAAGGTGGGACATTATATTTTGTTGCTCTAAAACAGGGACGTCAAACTCAATTTCATTGAGGGCTTCATCAGAATCGTATTTGACCTCGGGGGGCGAGGTGTGTGTGGCCAGCTTGATGTCACTCATGTTGGAGGCACCTGTGGTGGCCCGAGTGCTCTGCCAGCGAAAACAGGCTCCCGAGCTCCATTTTCGGTTGCCACGGCCTCCTGCAACCCTCTGCCAGTGAAAATGAAGCTCAGGAGCCCATTTTCACGGGCAGAAGCACCATGGGCTGGTTGTTTGCTGTTTCCAGAGTGGCCCCAAGGACCAGATCTTAGTACCCTGCGGGCCAGATCTGGCTCCTGAGCCTTGAGTTTGACACCCCTGCTTTAGACCCTGTGGGAAATTAATATCTTGTTGTAGGACTTGGCAGTAGCCCCAAAGCAACGGGAAGAGTGGACAAAACAAAACAAAAATCAACAACAACAACTCTTAGCAGGGGACAAAGTTTGCATTCCTATTGGTGGATGTGGGGGTGAGCTTCAGCCCTAGGAAAGCCAAGCCAATCCGAAAAAGATTCCAGCTCTGTCTTGAAATGATTAACGAAAACTAGAAGGATAATCATGCCCTGGAAACAGTGAAGGTCCGGCCCGCAGTGCCTCTCTGACTGGACTTCCGGGTTGTCTGTAGGGCCATTTTCACCCCCCTGATGTTCAGGGAAGCCTCCTGAAGTCTCTGGAGGGTTTCCATTGGGCAGGGGAGGCTGTTTTTGCCCTCCCCAAGCTCCTAGAAAGCCTCTGGGGAGGGCGAAAAATGGGTCCATTGCACGCCAAAAGCGGGGGCAGGGCAGGGGTCGCACG